CCAGCCATCTGAATTTCCTCTTCAGATTACTATAACTCCATAAACCACTCTCTTCTTTGTTCAACCACCCAACCACCACCTCCGAGTCTCCTTCAATTGTTTAGCAAAAAGCACCCAGTCAGTAAATTTTTGGGAACACATTTGCTACCTTGTCTAATTTTGCTATTGGTTGGAACTTGGGTTTTAGAAGGGCGCTTAGAGATCCTGAATTGGAACCCATTTCGGATTTGCTTAAGATCTTGGATGAGGTAGCCCTTGAGCCTTCCATTGGGGACTCTAGGGTATGGTCTCTTGTCCCTTTGGGTATCTTTTCTTGCTCCTTCTTTTTCAAAGCACTGACACAACTTAGTCCGGTTCCGGGGTCTTCTTTTCCAGTCTGCGAAATTTGGGGTAATCCAATCCCTCTTAGGGTAGGTGCTTTTTGCTAGGAAGCATTCCTAGAAAAGTGTTACACTTGTGACCTACTTCAAAAGAAAAGGCCTAATTGGTGTTTATCCCCGCACTGGTGCATCTTATGTAAGAAGAATGGTGAAAGTTGTTATAACTTGTTTGTTTCTTGCCCTTTTGTTTCAGATATTTGGTGTTGGTTTTTTTCTCTATTTGGTTGCAGGTGGACCTCCCCTTCTAGTGTGCAAAGCTTGTTTAGCTCCACACCATTAAGGGGTTTAAAAAAGAGAGGGAAAATATTGTGGAGTTGTGCTAGAGCTGTTGTTTGTTGGACGGTCTGTGAAGAAAGAAGTCAAAGAGTATTTCATGAAAAAGAAAAAAGGAAGCCATCATAGAACTTATATATGTTAGGGTGGCTCATTGGGTCAAGCCTTCGAAGCTCTTTGAAGATTATTTAGTAGGAGACATTAGAAAGTGGGAAGAAGTGGCTCGGTCATCTTCCATGTCCATTGCTCTTAGACCTGTTTGGACTCCACCAGGTTCGGGTTTCATCAAATTGAACTTCGATGGTAGCAGTGAAGGAAATCCAGGCCATTTAGGTATAGGTGGTATCTTCAGGGATGAGGAAGGTTGAATCATTGCTATGTTCTCAGGACCTATAGGCTGGGGGGACTCACTGAGAGCTGGAATCTTGGCAGCTATAGAAGGATTTAAGAGAGCTAAGCAGCTGAATATTAGTAAGTTGTTGGTGGAAGGTGACTCTCAGTTGACTATTAGATGGTTGCAAAAGGAAGTGTCCAGCTTGTGGAAGTTCTCTAATGAAAGAAAGAAAATTATTCGGTTAACTCAGAATATGATTGTAAGGGTTCAATGGGCCAAGAGGGGTACTAACTCCATGGCTGATAACTTGGCTAAACAGGGTGTGGGAAGAACAAATCTCTTTTGGGCTATATTGTAACATGTGTTTTCAGTTTTGTTAGGGAGGGTTAAGACTTTTTACTCCTCCCTTCTGGTTGTAATTTCTATATCTCTTCTAATAAAATTACTGTTATTGATAAAAAAAATATTAATCTCCATAGCTTTCTGGACACCTTCCATAACTGTGTGGATCTTAGCTCTGAGAGAGTCGCCCACTCCAATTGGGCCTGAGAACATGGCAGAAACGACCCCATTCTCATCCCTGAAGACACTCCCAATCCCTGATTGTCCGGAGTTCCCTATGCTACTTCCATCAAAGTTTAGTTTTATGAAGCCTGCAGGTGGGGGAGTCTAAGACACACTCACCCCAACTTTAGTTTGGGTACATCTAGCAATCTCACCCCACTTCCTCAGCATATCATCCACTGTAAATTCTATGAAAAGCTCTAGGGACTTCATCCACTAAATAACTCTTATGTGGATCAGGGTCCTCAACTCTTCAGAGAAGATTCTGGAATTTCTTTTTTCCCACAAAGACCAGCATTCTGCTGCCCTCAGTCTTCTCCACATAGTCCTTCCCCTTTTCATACGCCACCTAAAAAAAGAAGGATAAAAAAGGCCTTGCAAATTTGAAGGAGGAATCCAGGTACACCAAAAAGAGAGCAAGCCCACTCCCAAATAGACTTTGCAAAATGGCAGGACACCAAAAGATGAAAACCAGTCTCCCCATCAGCTTTACAAAGAACACACCAATGAGGGGACAAACAAGTATTGGGTCTCTTCTTTTGGAGCAGATCACCAGTGGCCATGTCTCTGACCAGATTGCATTTCCTACCTGAGTCACCTTCAATACTTGGATTCCTGAGATTGAAATTTCTTGCAAGCCTTAAGCTTTGAAGTGCTTTGGTCACTTCAGCCCTAGTTGAGTCTTCTTGCCTTCAGGGCCCAAGAACAGAGCAAGTATCAAGTCAGTGTCATCTCTAGAAATGTCTCCTATACCTGATGAGCTTGGGTTGCCAATACTTAATTCAATGATTTGGCTACTGAATCTCTCCTGTACATATACTTAGGAAAGTGCTATCCGTTCCTTTTTCTGCTCTACCCATATTCTTCCACTGTTTAGTATTTTTATTGGCCAAAACACTCCTCTTATCTCATTCAAGTAATGTGCTGTAGGAAGAGAGGTAAACACCATGTGCTGATATGAAAAGTGTTATCTCTATCAGAAGAGAAGTTGAGCTGCTTCTGATCATCTTTTATGCACGATCTGGTTTCTGGCTTAACGAATTCTGCTTTTTTTTTCGTTGTTCATAGTGGAGGCTTTTGAGCTTTGATCAATTTTACACCATTATCCTCATTATTTGGCTACAGTCTGATTGCAGTTAAATCACTTGGCCTAAATGGAAGATAATGTATGTGTATTTCTTGGAGATTTGGAGATATAGTTAGCTTTGTGAAGCAACCTATTTGTCAGTTTAACTCAAGGTTCAAATTATCAACTTGCATGGTACCAAAAAATTATGTATTGTGCATATTGATTGGTTGATACTCTTTTTTTTGCGAGTTTGTTATTTAAAAATGGTCTAGCTAGGCAAGGGGTGAACAGAAACTCTATGTTTTGGGCTGTGTTGTAATTGCTTTTTAATTTGGGTGTACCTTGGTTGTTTCTGGGAGTTAAGATTGTTTAGCTCCCTTGCTTTGTAACTTTTTATTCCATAGCTAAGAAGGCATCACTTTCTTGCTGGAGTCCACCTAATGGCTTTATTAAACTGAACTTTGATGGCAGCAGTATGGGTAATACAGGTCCATCTGGAATAGGGGGAGCAATAAGAGATGAACATGGGAATCTGTTAGCTATGTTTTCAGGACCAATTGGGGAAGGAGACTCCTTGAGGGCCGAGATTCTTGCAGCCCTTGAAGGGGTACGAAGAGCCAAGGAGCTGTAAGCTGATCATTGAAGGAGATTCTGAAGTGGTGGTGAACTGGTTAAAAGAGAAAATTTAAGTGGCTGGCTAAGGATGTTGAAATTCAGTACAAATGGGTTAAGAGAAGTGCGAACTCACTGGCAGATGGTTTAGCTAGGCAAGGGGTTAATAGGAACTCTTTGTTTTGGGCTTTATTGTAATTGTATTTGCTGCTCATAGACTGTTATAGGGAGCTAAGATTGTTTAGCCCCCTCGCTTTGTAATTCTTCTTAATATTAATTAATACATTTCACAGTTATTGATAAAAAAAATCACTGTTATCGATAAAAAAAGGGTTTATTCAGTTGAAACTGTTAATATCCCCTAACTGTTAATATTTTGGGTTTTGGTGACCTTGGAAACCGATACAATACACATGATACAATGTGATACACATCAGTACTTTAAACCCTGGTTTAACCCTGCACTTTCCATCTCTTAGTGCAGTTTGTGACCTTAGAGAGGTCAGTTCCAGGAACTTATTCAGAAGGGGCTTAGTCTGCTGGGCCATCATATTAGCAATTCTGCCCTGTTCTTGACAATCCTGATCTCCCGACTCCATTTTTAACTGGGTATGGCTTCTTTTTTTCTAGATGCCACATAGAGGTTCACAGAAATGGGTCAAAATTTTTTGGTGCACTCGGAAAGTGATAGTATTAGTGCTCCAAAAAAGAATATCCATATAATTAGTACAACCAACAGTTATAGAAATGAGCCGTTATAGCTCTCCCCTGTTGGTTTCCTTTTATATATATATATTTTTTCTGAATTGGTTGTTGTGTTATCACCTTTTATAGTTTGAATTACAGCCTTGGTTTATACTGGTTCATTCCATTTGAAACACTCTCAAATTTTGGGGGTTCTCGTCATACTTTATTAATAAAATTCCAGATTTCTGTTGCTGATAAGAAAAGGAAAACAAACACAAAATTATTTCATGTTGTGTTGAAACAAACACAGCATCTTTTTTTGTGGATGCGGATGACTAAGCTTGAGAATGCCATTTCATTAAAGGTGTGACTTGTCAGTTGATTGAACCGTAGTCTTGAGTGATTTTGATTGTGTGGGTTTCTCTATAAAGTGTAAATAATTGACCAAAATATGTTATAAACAGGCATTCCCATTAGTGAAAGAGTCTCACGTAGCCCATAAAACTTGATTGGTGCATCATGAATCATGAGGCACCATTTTCTACATACATTTGTGTGAATGGTTGTTTTCTATATATTCTTTGTCCGTTTGTCAACTGTTATTTATTTTGTTTTACATTTCTATGTATTTCTTTCTTCTATTCTACATGCTTGAGCAAGTATCTACTTTGTCATCTCCAAAGTGAACATAAAATCCCATGATTCTGAAGTGCAGGCACAGTAACTGTTAATTCAATTTTTAGGGTCGTCATGATGCCAATTACATCTCTGTGCCTCAGTATACTTGGTTTTATGTCATTCATCCTTCCATTGGATTATTCTTGTTTTCCAATGCATCTTTGCAAGTCAGATGCTGGATTACCGAGTTTTAGGTGGGTTACAAGAAGAGATTGTTATGTGCCATATCCATGCCAGTTTCTCATTGGATAGGAGGAAATAGTACTAGTAGACAGTAGTACTGGACTTTTTTTTTTTATTTTCCATTTATAGGAATTCCCATGCTGCTGCTAACCTTAACCTATATTCATTCATTAGATTCTAAAAGTGATGTTTTTTTTTCAAATTTCCATATGCTCAACAGGGAAGAAATGATAGCTGGAATGGCTAGGAAAAGCTTCATGGTGGGAGTGTAACTAGCCAGATGGCTCGTGCAAAAGATTTCGACCTTCTAAATCTCGACTGCAAACTACACACATCATCAGGCAGATACTTTCTGTTATTTTGAGTTTTGACCCATTTGAGACGGTATGCCCATTTCATTTCTACGCTCACAGGGGGCACACTTGTACATGATCGTATATTTAGAACCTTGTTTGGCTCTCAGGTGCAACTTAGCTTGTGTAACTCTACTTTCATGTCTAGTTTCGAAATTCATAAATTTCAAGATTTAAGACACCAAAGCTGTGGGTATTTATTCCATAAAGGGCTAATGATGCTTCGAGCAGTTGATCTCATTCAATAGTTCAGTATGAGAAAGCAAGTATTTGTGTGAAAAAAGCAAGACTTGTATTTGAAGTGTCATCGTTTACCAGCCAGATTCTGCATTGTTTATATAATATATAATATATACAACGTGCTTTTAATTTTCCTGGTTATTCAAATATGGAGCTTGTCTCCCGATTTTTCCTTTGGAAGGCAATGCAACTACACCCATCATGTAAGCTCTACACGCCTCTAGTTCAAAGTATCGATACATATCATGCTGATGGCTTCTCGATATGCCTCTTCAGGGGTTCTATTGGGTCAGTTACTGGTTCAGAGGATGGTCGGGCCTTAAACCTATCCCTCTGAACCGGTTTCGAAAAAGAATAAGTAAAACCTAAAAAAAAGTACCGATACTGTCGATACTTTGAACCTTGGCCTCTAGCACAGCGTGGCACAGCCAGATAAATGGCTTTCAGTATCACTGTTCTGGAGGTTCGATTGTACATCTGTACTTGCTCTTGTTGCTCGCTGTGAAGCATTGGTTCACTCTTATCAACTATTGAAATTTGAAATGAGATACCAATCTAATGGCTTCCACGATTTATCATCTCATAGAAAGGTTAGACCCTTGGATAATTTTGGGAGGAGTACTAGTACAAACATATAAATTGCAAAACCTTCTATTTTATATTTTTAAACCTGTGTTTGTATTTTACATATTTCTAGTTCTAGTTTTCTACTATCCATAAGCGTTATGTATGCCTAGTTTTGAGAGGTATCCTCCCAAGTCAAAACCAGTGTTTTAAAAGGCATTGGAGGTGTACGCTTGAAGGCGCGCCTCTAGATGAGGTGCTCTAAAAACGCCTTGAGGCGTATGCTAGAGGTGTGCTAGAGGTGTGCTAGAGGTGTACGCTTGAAGGCGCGCCTCTTGTGCTTTTTTCACGAGGAATATGCCTTTTGCGCTTTTTTCATGAGGTGTGCTAGAGGTGTACGACTGTACATCACAGAAAAAAAGAAAAAAGAAAAAAAAAGGAAAGGAAAGGGAAGGGAAAGAAAAAGAAAGAAAAGGAAAGGGAAAAGAAAGGGAAGGGAAAGAAAAAGAAAGAGAAGAAAAAAAAAGAAAAAGAAAGAAAAAGAAAGGAAAGGGAAGGGAAGAAAAGATAAGGGGGAAAGAAAGTGGTTTGCCCCAGACCCCCTCACCTCCTGCCCCTTCGACAAGACCCCCCCTTTTAATTAATGTTATGCATCTTTATCATTTTTAATGTAAAAGATTTTTATTAAAAATAAAAAAAAATGAGATTCCCCCTTCCTTTTCATCCTCCTCCTAACCCCCTCCCCTTCAAGGAGGCTCTTGCATTCTGAACTATGCCTCACACTTCTAGGTAGTGGAACGCCTCGCATCACGCCTTTGCGTTTTAAAACATTAGTTCCAACTACACCAGAGGTAGATTCTTTGTCAAGCAATCAGCTAGCTGATTATCAAACTTCACAAGAGGTAGACCTTTTGCAAAGCTACAGACTTGCCTCTAGATCAAGCAAATGATTATGGGTATTTTGGTTTCAAGGGTAGAGAAGAACAAAGGGGTATTATGGAAATCTCTTAGAAACCATTTTGTGTTTTAGCAGACAATGCCAAACAAGGGGTAATTTAGATTAGCTGAACGCAATGGTTGTTCAATGGGCTGTGGAATCAATGATAATGTTCCATGCCAGTAATAATTCATAGGCCCCACTGTAAAATGGTAGCTACTTGCCTTCCATACAAGGTCTAAAAACAGTGAATTTTGGAGAAGAATGGCCAATGCATGAGGAAAGCTAACATGGGGATTGAGGAAAAATCAAATGAGTCCATAAATAGCGCATATAAAACATTATGCCGGACCAACCTATCAACAATACTAAAGCTCTGACTAAAATTAATACATAACGGTGTGGAATATACAAGCATCGCTCAAAGGAACAAAAATCTTTTCATCACAACCAGAAGTTGCCGTTTGTTTCTGGGCCAGACATGTCCAAGAGATGGTGACTAACTGATTGAATGAGAATGGTCCAGATTGATGAGTAAGCAAGCCATTGCTAGATAGAATTGAAAGAGCTTAGCATCCTCTTCCTTGAGGCCTCCTGCACAACTTCCTGATAAAAATATTCATGATTTGTAATCAGCAAAGATGTCTTGCCCTCATGGACGTTACAACAATCATTATAAAGAAATTGTATCCCCTTCAAGTAAGAAAACTCATATAAAGTTTTCACAGCGTTCTTTCATTCCTCCCCCCTCTTCTACTTACAGCCTCACATAGCCGGCATGGCAATGTGTCGAGGCTTGCTGCACGGGTCTTCCCATAGCTTCCCAATACACCACACCTCCTCCATGCATGGTACTCTGCATAAGCAACCGGGTCATTTGCAAGGGCTTTCACGTAGGAAGCTAGTTTCTCCATGGAGCTAAATTTAGTCCCATCTATTATTGAATGAGGGGGGACAAAGTCCAACACATTTGATGCACCAAAATAGATTGGAACAGCACCTGCATCTAGGGCATAAAATAGTTTCTCGGTCACATAGCTTTCTGTAACAGTGTTCTCAATTGCAAGTACGAACTTGTAGTGTGACATTGCACAGTGAAGATGATCCCACCACTTGGGAGGTGAGTTAGCATTGGCACATTCTGGATAGAAATCAAGCGCCTTATCTAGGCCCCCAACATTGTTCAAGCACTTGCCAAAGGAGTGGTAAGGTAGGAATTTAAGGAGACTCATGGCCAGTTGGTTTCTATGAGAAAGGCACCTTGAGGAAGACCAGTAAACAAGCGTATCCTGAAGACATATAGCGTGATTAAATTACAAATATTTTATCCCTAGTCCTCTAATTAATAAGGATGTAAATGTATTAAGTACTTACATTCCGCTTAGATGAGGATAGGTGATAATTTCGACTGTTATGGAAGAGGGTGCCAGCATAAGTTGATTGGACATCATCTTTAGCATGATAACCAATGAAAATATCCTCCAGGCCTGATCGTCTCCTGCCTGCCTCAAGATCCATGTAAACACGAAGCGGGTCACCTTTGCGCCTCTGGAAAATATATGCACAAATTCCAATGACATGAGCAAGCAAGAAAATTATAGAAATTAGATGTATTATGTTGTTGTCAGGAAGAGATAAGCATATTTAAGTCACCATTATAAGACTACAAAACTCTCCACTTGAGATGACAAAGTACTGAGTTGATGTGAAAAAAGATAATACAAGTACTGGAATAAATGTGAAAGACGACAAGAGCAATGACCACCAAATAACTACATTTAACTGCTCAAGTGTTGTAGGCTATGAGATCAAAGAGAAGAAATAAAAGATAAAAGTAGATCTCAGTTTCATTCCAACATTTTATGTCAATAAACCTTATCTGTGCCACATGGAGGGAGAACTTAGTTGATTTGAACCCTCTCCATGGTCATGAATTCAATCTCCCAGTCCATGTCAGTCCATGTAGGACCATCTGATTTGGGTCTCTTCTCCATGTGAGATAACCTAATTTTGCCATGTCCTACATGCAGCTTTAACGACCAAGACCAATTAAGGAAGTTGCTAGCATTTAACAGTTGTAATATGGAAATTCATACTATCCCCAGATCCCAAGTAATACCAGATGCTATTTTCACCTCCAGACTAGAAACCATCTCATACATATAAGTGACTTTAGGAAACCTAACCATTTTGAAAATCCACATGAGAGAAAAACTAGTACAAACACAGCCACCATACTACAAAAAGGAATATGTGATCCTTCAAAACACTCCAAACATTTGAAAAACATGAAAATATCCCAAACAGATATTGGCTTTCCTAACATCTAGAATATTGGAGCACTCAATAAGGGCTGGGCACTTAATTAATAGGAGAGAAATCTTCATTGGGCACTAAGAACATTATGGAATCACATGAGACCACTAATAGTTGTTTCAGAAATATCAGGTGACTAGAACTATGGAAGCTATTGATGGGAATCAACTTAATGCTTATCAAAAGAGAACCAAAGCTGTTCCTATGCTTATTTGGCATCATAGCGATGATGTGGCACCCATATGGGAGCTGGGTTAGCAGTGAATCAACTTGGGAAGATCCTAGAGTCTTCAATCTACCTTAAGATGCTCTTTGTGTGGTTGAGGTTGCTGTGGACAAGACTTATTTGACTTTCTTAAATTTCTGGACAGTAAGGGTATTTTTGTAATTTTGCATATTCAAGGGTTATGTTTGGGGACAGGTTTTAGTCTAGTAATTTCCCTTTGCTTGGCTTTATATTTTTAATTGTGTGGGGGCAGGTTTAGTCTAATCGACCTTTTTGTAAGTGGCTTGTTGGGCAAGCTAACTTGGGGGAGTAGATTTCTTCCTTTGGAAGCTTCTTTCTTATTAAGCTTGTAAGGCTCATTTGGAGGACAGTTTTTGCTAATGAACAAAGAAAGTTTCTCTACAGAATTTGGTGTGATTGCCTAGGTTTTCATCTTATTCCCATCTCCTCTTCTCTTTCTTTTGTTAGCTCTTTTTTTCTGTGCTACACATCTAGCAAGTTAAATTGCAAGAAGAATAGTGCTGAACCACAAAGATCCTGCATCATCTATCCACTCCAAAATTCTTCATATTTGAACCATAGCAGCCAACCTCCTCAAAATCTCCATAGAACTCTCTCTCTCTCTCTCTCTCTCTCTCTATATATATATATATATATATATATATATATATATATAATATTTGCTTCATGGGAGGGAGCCTGTCCTCCATACCCATAATCCCCCAACCCTGGTGGCATGACTTAGCAATAATTTTAATGATTTTCTTAGAAAAAATACTCAAAAGATGTTCCAACAATCCCCATAATATTTCATATCCACATCAAAATTATTATAAACCACCCTAATTAATATCAAGGCCCGACCTTCTGACATCATCCGACAGCAATGATGATGTTAGCAATCGATTGTATGCATAATGATCAACAAAGTGCCCTAGTCACTCCTTTGTCAATTAGGTTCAAAGAATCAAGTAATTTGGAGCAAGAAAAATAGAGAAGAGAAAAGAGGAGAAAAAAGGTGAAAAGAAGAATTAGAGGCCAAAAAAGCTCATAATTTTTCATGGGAGGGTGGGCCTTGGCACAATGATCTATTGCAACCTGGGTGACCAGGGTTCAAATCTTGGAAACAGCCTCTCTGTGTATCTGCAGGGGTAAGGCTGGCTTACATCTGTTCCTCCCCAGACTGGCAGGAGCCTCTTGTACTGGGCTGCTCTTTTAATTTTTCATGGTTTAAAATGTCGTGTCAATGGAAATATCAGTCATCCAAATATGGAAACATGATGGAAATGTTGTAATGGGAATATTGTAAAAGTTATAGACACGGTGGAAACATGCAAACATATAGAATGCTATTTTATGTAATGATAAAAGAAGCATAGATAGACCCTTTTAAATTATTATTTTGTCCCAAATCATCAAACAAAGCTAAGAAACTCCCTTTTAAATTATTATTTTGTCCCAAATCATCAAACAAAGCTAAGAAACTAAGGTTAATAAGTAAAATAATATGCTACTATGTTGTACTGTAAATATTAAGAGTCAAAAACTACTAGAAAGAGTGAGTTCAAGCAAGTTAAACTCATGGAATGTGCAAATGGATCTAATAGATTGACCGAATTTATACAAAGTGGCAACTTAAAAACTAATTATTTTGAACTTGTACATGTATAACAATGCATATAAATATCAAAATATTAAATTTATCACTCATAAACTCTACATAATTGTATATGATATCTTTGTATGTAGACATAATTATACTAAATATATATAAAATAATAATTTTCACCACACATTTTAATCAAATCGGTTGGGGGTTAAATCTGCATCTGATCCAATTATTAATCGGATGCAACTTTATATTATAATACTATCTCCTGCACACCACATAGCACCAATAGTTTTCATTGGGGAATATATCGATTATGGTAATATTTCTTGTCAATACCCATGGAAATGGAAATATTAAGAAATATATAGACATTTAAACCATGCAGTTATTTTATTAGGTTTTATAATAATGACTAAATTACAAATATGACCCTGACTACAAAATTACTAAATTACCCTCACAATACATAATACACATAACCTAGTACAATATGATCAGACCAAGCACATTAAGGTGAACAGTGTTTTAAAAGCGAGAGGTGCAAGAAAAGTACAAGGGCCTTTTAGTTCCAAAGTGCAAGGCACATGCCTAGACATGCAAAAGACGCATTGAGCTTTTGCATGAAGATCTGAGCAGCGCGAAGCACGTTTGGCAGACACGCATCTTTCCGTGTCTTTCCGCGTGAGATTAAAACGCAAAAGACATGAGAAGCTTCATTTGGAGCTTCCCGAAATCAGCCCAAAATGGGCTTCTTGCGTCTTTTCGGCGTTCCGTCTTTTGGTGACTACATCTTCTGCGCGCCAAACGGAAATAGACCGGAAATCAGTCTTCCTGGCATGTAAACAGCCGAAAGACCGTGCGGAAAGACACACCAAACGGGCCCAAAATAAGGCATTAGGCACCTTAGTGCCACTTCACTATCAGCTTTCACTGCTACACTGAAGTCCTCAGGAATCTTCGTTTTCTCCACTTTAAGCTCTGGCCACTCTGTCAGACTGTCACCACAAACATTGCATCAAATGTGATGATGTTAACTGGATAAGGTGACAAACCAGCCCATCACACTTTAATCCAAATACATTCTATGGACCAAACATAAGCCAAGGATTTATCAATCTCCAGAATAGCCCATGCACATATCTCTAATTCACAAAATAACCTCCTTGCTCCACTAATGTAATGGAAGGCCTTATATGCAGATCCCGATAAAACCTGGGATGTCCTCCACCTTGGATCAGGTTACCAGCTCCTCAGACTAGGGTTATAGATAAAGTAGAGCTCCCTAGAAGCTTCTAACACCCATGTTTAGCATCCTCTTGGCCTCCAAGAGAGATGGGAGGATGAGTAGCCAGAGTTTCTCATCAAACTTCCTGACTCTCACTCCTCACAAGATGTTCATCTAGAGAATACATGAGCTGATCTCTTGTTTGGGAGTATCTTTTTATCATGTATCCTATGTACTATATCATTGTACATTGTTCTATTTGTTATTTTGTTATTTCTTGTAATTTGAGAAGGGCATATTTGTCCTTTCTCATCTTTTGTATCTCATTAGCATATAATACATCTTGCTTGGGTGTGTGAGACATAAGACACACTCTTCAAATCTGTCTTCTTTTCTCTGGTATGAACCCTAGTTATCATGGTATCAGAGAAGGTATCTTACATCAACTTTTGATTCAAGTTCAAAAGATTAACATTGAAGCTTTCTATCCCTGTTATTGAAGAGTAACTTGAGGACTGTTTAAAGGCTGTTCTAATCAGTACGAACTCAGCACTGTTTTTCTAGATTTTGAGTCACCATAGGCTCTTGCACTTACCCATTCACTTGGGTTGAAGTTTGGACTTGTTTTGAAGGGTTTTGATCCCTTTCCTGTCATTGATAGGATTGAAACTTACCTATTCTAGACTGTTACATCTTGCAACTATTATTCTGAAGTTTTTTTCTTTAAGGTTTTGATCCTTCTCTTTTGCCCTGGTCTTTTTATCCCCCATATTATTGGATTGGTAGCTGGACCAGTTGTTTTCAAGGGTTTTGATCCATCTTTCTGTCCTTTTCGAACCTGTACTTTCCATCTTTGTACTGCTACTCAATTCTGTAGTATTTTGGGAGTTGTTTCCTGGTGAAGGCTGATTTATTTGGTGCTGTACCTCTTCATCCGTCTGTTATTTACATCATAAAATCTGAATTTGGTTGGATTTCGGCAAGCTTTCCTTTTATTACTTGCTTTAATACCAGTTTTCTTGCCTCGGAGTGTGTAGTCTTGGTGTTTTCATTGCTGGAATGGCCTCGGACAGAAGAGATATTCTTGTCATAAGATTTAATGGAAGTAATTATTCACTATGGAAGTCCACTTTCACTTTTTATGCTGAAGGGCAGGGTCTTTGGGGTCA